TCAAATCATAAAGGCGAAGGGTATCCCTTAATAACAACACAATCCTTTGGGTCATTAGACAATTAAGCATGTTAAAAGACAAAATTCCTAGTTCCAATGCCCTGTGCTTTGTATACTTCTGTCTGACCAATCCTTTTCTAAGCATCATCACAAGCCATGTCTAACTACCCTTCTAGACCATAAAGTTTCAGCCTGCCTGGGGATGTGCAGGAGGAGGCTTGAGAGGGAAAGAATAAGACAAGTGGTACACAGGCCAGTAAAATGGTACAGAAGAATCAGATCTGATGTCTAGCATCTGAGATTCTCAAGGCAGTATGATGGGGAACAGCCAGTTGATGAATGGCTCTTGATGCTGGGACAGGAAATGGTGGCCCATCACTTATAAAGTTCAACCTCTCTGGGTGGGAAAGGTTTGGGGGAATAGAGGGAATAAAAGATTACCACATCACTCCTTCTGATCTATTCCTGCCTTTCTTGCTAAAACAGGGGTTTTAACCTTAGTTTATTTTTTTTTTGATGAGGGACCTTTTTTAGCAGTGTGGTAAAGCTTATATATGAACTCCTCAGACTGTTTGGAAATGCATAAAATAAAGTTCTTAGAATTACAAAGGCAATCAAGTATACTGAAATACAGTTATCAATATACTGTTTTTAAAAGACCACAGACAAGAAGTTAAGAAGCCTTGCCCTAAAATAAAAGGCTCATCTCCAGCACTAACCTTAGGCAGAATGCAATTTCACAGCAAAGAAAAGATTCCTTTCCTCTCCAAAATATATCTCCCCACCTATATTCTTTTACTTCAAATCTCTTTTATAGGATACAAAGTCTTTCAAAATGCAGCCGCTTCAGAGTTAAAATACTGTCGTAAATTACTTTTAGTTCAAGTATGAATTAAGTTATCAGATCCCTTCAGAGTAATTATAAGGACTTAAGACAACTGGAAGGCATACTGCACCCTGAGAAGAGCAGGGAAAGGGAAAAGTGATGCCACTGAAGGGGAAAATGGACATTAGAAACAAATCTCACCCACTGTTCAATTTTGCTATAGTCTGCACTGTTTTATCTCCAGCAGAGCCAGACAGGCAGAAGTTGTACACAGAAGGAACTTTTTGCACTGTGTGGGACAGTCATGCAAGCTTAAATCTTACTGTGATTTTAACTGTGGGAATTGTGGTTCTGGTTGTGCTGTTGGGCAGGGGCTGGCCAAACCTGGTGGCCAAAATTATTTTTTCACATCAGAGGCTAGACTGAGATTATATAAAGCAAAAGTGTTATCACTCTATCTGGCTCTCCCTTATTCGTGAGACTGACTTTCTTCTCTAACTTTGTCTTGGTGCACTGCATTCTCTTTTCTAATCTGAACTGATAACTGGTTTTCCATTGTTTGAACATTCATTTCTCTCTATTATGCCTTTAAGTGTTTTCCATTGAAGTGTGGGAATTATCATGCAAAAGATGTGTGCTAAGCTAACCAATCTGTATTAGTTTACACAAAGATTTTTAGTAGGAATGAAGAGATGATATTTTCTCTGTATTACCAAGGATTAATACCTTTGCCAGCGCCTAAAACTTGCAATATAACCTAAGTGATGAAGTAATTAGTCTTTGCTTTTACTAAAATACAAATTTTGTCTAATAAATGTAGAATGAGATAAGGGGGAAAACATAAATGAATCCTCAGAAGTGAAGTATCCAACAGATTTGAGATTACCCAAGGGGAGAGCGTGTGAGGGTGACTTGGAAAGACAATTTTATTCAAGAGTGTTCTACTATCACATTTTATAGGCATTATTTTCAATAAGCTCAGTACTCTATCTGGTAATAAAAACAAGCAGACTATTTCCTCATTTTCCTTTCTGGAAGAGAACACTTCATCTACTTGTCAGAGTTAGGTCAAGGATATGAAATCACAAGCTCAGGCCTCCTAATAACTCATCTTCTCTGCATCAACTTAATCTCTAGTCTGGGCATCAGTAAGGCTGCTCACTAATTTTTAACATTTATGTTTTTAAAAATCTCAGAAAAGTCAACTGTTTTAAACCAGATTGATGGAGAGAATGCGATTTTAAAATGCTATTACTGCCTTAAAGATTAAAAAGATATTGTCTGTAATTCAGTAGTGAAGGACTAAGTTGAGCAGCCAAGTCCGGTTGTTTATAATGTTTTATATACTACGGAGCAAAAAGATTGATGAGGTAATCCCAGCAGACAGTGCTGGGGAAAACTTGAGGATACCAGGACATTCCGACATCTGACTCCTGAGAACATAGTTAAACCATGACATCAGCCATCTAATTTAATAAAAATCTGATCTAGTAAAGTCTTGAATATGTTAAAGCAACTTGATGAAAAACGATCTCCGGACAGCAGGAACACTAGATATTTTAGGGGATGGGAAGTATGGGGGCAGGGAGAGAACTACTACTAGTACGGAAAAGCATTCTCAAATGGAACTGAGTATCAGATGTGTTGGTCTAAGGATGAAGATAGATTTGATCAACTTGATTCTACACAAATTCGGGGAAGCAGCATAATATATATGTTTTAGAAACACAGCATCAGTTAGGGAAAGCCTAGGCACTACCAATGATTTGTTTAATGATGTATGGCAAGTTACCTCTGCCTTTTTAATTTATGAGAAATGGATCACAACAGCTTTGTCCATATGACTCTCACAAATGTGGTTAGGATAATAATTCTGTCAGTACAAAATACGTAGCAGTTATTTATTTTGTATGACTATCTGGTAAGAGATTGTGACGTAAAATACCAACAAATGCCTTCCCTTTGTGGGTCTCTCCCACTAGGCTGTTCTTTCTCCCATTAGAATGTGAGTTCCTTGAGGCCAAGGACCATGTTTTTGCCTTTCTTTGTATCTCCCAGTGCTTAGCACAGTACTTAGCACATCGTAGGTACTTGATAAAAGCTTGCTGACTTAATTGTGACAACAGCAGAAAAAACCTGGATGTCACATCCCTCCTTCACATGTATAAGCTGCAGGTACTTCAGGGTTTTATAATCAGGCAGAACAACAATTCCCTGAAAACATAAGACGGTGCTTTCTTTGTGCAAAAAAAAAAAAGCATGGGCTTGACTACTAGAGAGAATAACTTGAATGGGCGAGAAAATTCACCTTCCTCCTTTCTAAAGTGAGCTAGTATACTCGTAAACTCTTTTCTGTGGAGCAAGGTTATTAATTCCATACCATCTTCTCTTTACAGAGAACCAGCCATTAAAGATCTCATAATACCCTGGACCCCAACTTCAAGACAGGTACATGTACCAATGAATACAAGTATTGTTAAGTACTTCCCAAAATGATCTAATATTGAAAAAAAGTTAATGTACAAATTATAATCCATGCTTCTAACCAGCAGCTTGGGGAGTAATAAATCTGATGATAAATCTGAAAAAAATTCCCAAGTACACTGCTCCTCAGACATGCCTTGTGAAACACAACTTTTACTTCTATATATTAAAAGTTACATTTTTTACGTAGTCAGCATTTCCAGAAATACATGGTTCATAAATTGCTTTCAAGAAAGTAATTTTTTCCTAGAAAGACTTACACAAAATGATGCAAACTGAAGTGAGAAGAACCAGGAGACCATCATACATAGTAACAGCAATATTGTATGATGATCAACTGTGAATGACTTAGCTACTCTCAGCAAGACAATGATTTGAGGCAATTTCAAGGGACTCATGATAAAAAAATGCTTTCCACCTCAGAGAAACAACTGATGGAATCTGAATGCAGACCAAGCACACTATTTTTCACTTTTTTTTTCCCTTTTGGGTCTGTGTCTTCTTTCACAAATGACTAACAGAAATGTTTTCCATGATTGGACATGTATAATTTATATCAAATTGCTTACTATCTCAAGGAAGGGAGAGGGAAGGGAGCAAGAAAATTTGGAATTCAAAATCTGAGAAAAAAATGTTAAAAATTGTCTTTACATGTTAATTGGGGGGAAATATTATTTATCTAAAAAAAAAGAGTAAGTTTTTAAGATGACTGCATTCACCTCTAAATACTATTTTCATTTCAATTGCATAGGCCAGGCCAGATGAAAAACGAACTATTCAACTGAACAAAATGAGAGTTTTCTATGCTGTTTTATCAAAATTAAGCCTATATTACAGTAATAGAGTCACTTAGACCATACACTGAAGTTGGTTTGGCTTACTTCCTAATGTTAAAGACTGGAAAATAAAAGTATCTGTTCGGGAAAGACATAGTTTATCTTCTAAAAATTAATAAGAATTTTCAATGTTGTCCCAAAGTAGTACTGTTATGTGACACACAGAAGCCTTTTCAAACAAGGCCACATTTTAGAATTTTTTCATTTATTTTATTTGTACCTACTGTCTAGCACAGTGCCTACTATATAGCAGGCACTTAAAAAATCCTTGTTGATTAATAACTAGTTAACATGTTACATTACAAAATTTATTAAGAAAAATGGGTGCGGGAAAAGGAGCTAGATTCATATGTTACAAACCTAAGTTCCTCTTTCTCTGGAATGATACAGGTTTTATAATTTTGTAATTATAAAACATACACAAACCTTCAAGATTTTTTCAAATATAATTTATGACTAGAAGAATAAGTAGCCAGATTAAATGTAAACAAAGGCCATGTGAATTCCACACTACTCTGCCATGGGACAAAAGGGGATAGGAGCTCAAAGTCTAAAGTCACCAACTCAACTAGTATTTAGTATTCATTTTAATAATATTTATTGAGTGCAAAGTACCATAGTAGGTGTTGTGGGCAACACAAAGAAGAATAAAAATTAAGTCCTTGCCCTCACAAAGCTTATAGCCTAGTAAAAAATACGAGCCACGTATACAACAACATAATCAGTTCTTTGTCAAAAGCCTTTTGCAATTCCAGAAATAAAAGATTTTCTCAAAGACATTATCTCATTTCAACCTCCTGCGTGTTTCCTTTCATTCAAACAGAAAAGATACTATTAGTTTTATAATTACTCACCCAATGAGAGCCACCATCTGTTCCACTATGTGTTTGCTGAAAGTTATAATAACGAAGAGTTTCTGTAAGAAAGAAAACTTTGGTCAAAGGAATATTTACTCTATCAAAAGACACAGTATCACAATTCCCAATGCTTTATGCTAGCACTATTCAAAGGCAAGAATCCTCCCAAGGACTTTTCCAACTCTTCTTTTTAAATAACATAACAGGCAAAAATAAATATGGTCAAGTGCTACCTATCTATGATTTTTCATTTTACTCTTAATATTTCCACATTCTAAGAATTTTTTCCCCAAGCATAATGCTAGGAAACTTCTTTCCAAGCCTCATCAAGCTTATAACCATATCTGGATGGGAAAACATGAGTCATGAAACCAAAGACTGGAAAGAGTTTTTGCTGGACATTTCAGAATTATTTTGATATATTCCTTGAATGAAATGTATCATTAAACCAGTGTTCTCCAAGGTGAAAACTTGTACCCCTAGTGGGCCATGGCATGACTCCTAATTAAAGGATGGGAATGTGGGTTACATCCTACCCCTACACAAACAAAATTCCAGTTGCCCCCCTTTACTTATTATCACCCAACATTCCCTCACTCCAACCTCTCTTGCTGCTGGCCTCCCATGGCTATGCAAGCTCCCAGTCTCTGTCTCCTCTTTTGATCCTGGAACTACAACCTAACCATGATGGTATAACCACACCAAAAGCAGCTAAATTCCCCTTGTCCCTAGTGTACCCACATCCTGTCCCCCAGATCACCTCCTGGCATTCCTCAGTGGGCTTTGTGCTCTTGAGCACTGATTGACTCCTGAGTAAGAGCCCTGCCTCCTGTTTTGTTTTAAATGGGATTAAAAGTGAGTCACACAGGAAGAGGATGCATGGATAAGCTGTGATCTGCACTGCACCTATTATTACACTCTCCCCTCCCAAACCCTGCACCCCTCTAAACTTTCCTATTTCTGTTGAGGGCACCACTATCCTTTTAGTCACTCAGATTCACAACCTCAGTGTCATCTTTGACTTCTCACTCTCCCTCACACCACACATCCAATCATCTGGTAATTCTCATTCATTTTATATTCACAACATCTCTCAGATCTATTCTCCAACCATTAGTTACAACTCTCATTCAGATCTTTATCACCTTTTACCTGGACTACTACAGAGCCTCCTAATTTGTCTCTCTGCCTCAATTCTCTTACCACTCTAATACATGCTGTACCCTCTTACAAAATGGCATTTCTAAAGCACAAGTCTATTATCACTCCCCTGTTCAAACTCCAGTGGTTCTCTATTGACTTTAGGAGATAAGAGGGCCTAATTTACCATCACAAACACTTGGGCCCCAAGTGATGAGGTATGGGACTGGTTTTTATTTAGTCTGAAAGAACATGCAAAGAACTCATATCCAAGCCTAGAAACAGTCCAATCAACTCCTCTTCCCCTTGTGTAGCTCTGCATTACTTAAATTCAATTCATGCGCAAGTCAAGACATCACTTGTGATGTCACAGGTCCTCTTTGAGAATGAAGGATGAACAACAACAACAATGACACTTAGGATCAAATATTTCATCTTTCTTTAACTTTTATTTTGTGTATAGTAGTATATGTGTATATACATATGTATAAATGTGTATGCATATATATATACACACACATACATACATACATACATACACATTTGTGAATAAGTAAATACACGTATATTGGGGGTGCATGCCTAGAAAAGTTTGAAGCCTACTGCATTAAATGACTAGACACAGGGTGCTGAATGGCTCACCTCTGAAGTACCAACTTGTCACAGGATATCCAGATTATGGATGTAATCTAAGTGCCTTGATAAATCATACAAGTCCAATCCAGGGCCTTTACAACACTAGACTGGAGTACGGGTCTCCTTGACTGAGGAAATGTTAGGAATCACTAACAATTACCCCAGGATTTCTAGACTCATACTCTAAACCAGTTTGGACTCATGCGTATAGATGACATTCATCCTTCTAAGGTATGTGACATGGACCATAGGAAATGTTTACTACTTGTTACATGTGACAGGAAGATATACAAAGGTGAAATGATACATTATTAGGCCATTTAGTAGAATTAGTCCTGGTTTGGTGAATACTGAATTTTAATGATAGGTGTTTTCCTACAACCATTCCCGATGGTCCACCTTAGACCTAGTGAGAGTAATTCTAGATTTCTACATTATACTCTTAGTATATGCTAGAATGATAAAAGTGTGTCATTCTGAGACTAAAATAAGCTTGCCAATTATTAAAAACAAAAAATCCCTTGCAAATTCATAAAAAATGTTTTACTAGCTTGTCCAAGCATAAGATGTCTTTTTTATCTTCTCAGTAGAAATCTTCATCCACTCCATATCAGAGATTATTTTTAAGGATGGATTAGCATATACTTGTTACACAGAGAAAACAATTAGTATAATAATAGAGTTTTAAAATCTGTCCTAGAAATGAATAATAAATTATATACACATAAACTATAAAACTCCCTTTACCAATGAAAATTAGCACCTGTTCAGCAATTTATAGTCTTAGATAACTGCTTGGTACACTGAGATTAAGTGGATAGTTCTATAGCTGACTTTACAAGTCTATATGCTTGCTTATTATGCAAAAATACCAGATGATTACTGGAAGGATGTTGACTTTTATCAACTAAGGCATATAAGTGGTGATATCACACAAAAAAAGGAGATTATGGGTTGAATGAAGATCATTTATGTGAAAAAGCATTAATGGAGACTTTCTGGTACATTAGAAGACAGCTAAATAGAGCAAAAAATCTTCTACTAATAAACATACTTAATGGTCTTGCTACTCAATTTTACTATCACAAGTCTATTCTATTGTCATTTCTTAACATTCAAAATACAGTGAGATATCCAGATTATTGCACAATTTAATCTCTCAAATACAACACAGTATTTTCTCTTTCTTTACAGCAGCCTGAAAATACATTGTGCTGGGTACAACAAAACAATGTCTCAGACAGGGAACAGTATGTGTCTCCCAGAGTCTCTCAGGTTTGAGGTCCAAGTGGGGTTACTACAAAATAAACAAAATTGGGAAAAAAGCACCCCAAACAGCCACACTCAACCACATAAAAGTACACATGCCACATGGGAAAGGGAGTGGGAGTGGGGGAGAAAGAGGGATCAGAAGGCACAAACTAATGGAAGCTAAGAGGTCTGCAAACTGCAGAGCAAGAAGCAGTCTTGAAAGGTTCTTAGTGAACTGCTAATTAGGTCAAAACCCTTATTCTGACCCCTGACTAGGAGAAAGTCAATGGCTGTCCTCAAGGGTCCACTGAACAAGCAGAGAACAGAAAGGAAAGAGGCATCCTTCCCTGACATGGTAAATAGCTAAGCCAACTGGTATTTTTCAGGACAGGGATTACAGCTGGCAAAAGACAACATAAATTGCTTAATGCATATATCAGAAAGTTGTCCTAACTTAAGCTAAGAAAAATATAAGGAACAAGAGGGTGAAAAGTGAAGAAATAGGTAGATTGCTTGAACACCAAAAGGTTTTTTTTGTGTATTTCTGTTATTATTTCAATAATGGTTAAAGATGTTTATAATACCAACTAAAATTGCTTACCAAGTACTGAGAAATGTTTGTTGCCTAAGCTACATCTGGATGTACATCAAGTTACATGCCTTTATGAAGTATGTAACTATGATACAATGGAACATAACAAACATACCCTCTATTTGCCTTAATGTAGGAGAAAAGCTAAAAAGATTCTTTCCCTTCAATGACAAATTGATGTTAGGCTTTTGTCCATATGGGCAAATAAATGCTTATCTTACACTAATCCTAAATCAACTAAATGAATAAATGTACATGTTCTTAAAATAGGATACTATAGGATGTTTTTAGATTCATGGATTTTGCCAGTGGGTAGAAAAAAGGTAACTACATTCAGAAAGTGTTAAAGCAGGACAAGTAAATGGCTGAGCTGGAGAAATTTGTGTTATGGAGGAAAGGCGTTACCCAGAAATAACTTGATGTTACTGCAGCTATCCAAGAGGTTTAAAATCAATCTCTTTCTTTAAAAAAGGATCCTTGGTAGGAAGACAGGGGGAAGGGGAGTAGTATCAAATGTCAACAAGTAAATCTTATGTTATCTAGGAGAATGATTCAAAATTGCACTTAAAAATACGTTAAAAGGTCTTCTGCTCATCCTCCTGACCCTTAACTCCTGCAATTTAATTTAGCATTATTTTAAGTATTTTAAAAATACTTTGGGGGCGGCTAGGTGGCGCAGTGGACAGAGCACCAGCCCAGAAGTCAGGAGAACCTGAGTTCAAATCTAGCCTCAGATCAAACACTTGACACTTACTAGCTGTGTGACCCTGGGCAAGTCACTTAACCCCAATGACCTAAAAAACAAACAAAAAATACTTTGGTTTAAATATTAAGCTGATAAGTCTTATTTATAACATATTTTGCTTTTCATAATGCCTTTCTGTTATAATGTATATTGAAATTCCTACTAAGCAACCAATATTTTAATGTTCTTATAATTATTTTTACTCTATAATGTGTAACATAAAATTTTCATAGTTAATAATTTCCATAAAAAACCAACAATGTCCTTGGAATTTGGGGTGTCTATGGGTACAATTGAGAAAATGACAGATTCAAGAAATAAACCAATGTCTAATATTAAAAAATATGACCAGAACTGGACAAATAGAAGCAACTTTAGTCACTAATATTGCTCTAAGAATAAAATGTCAAGCAACAATAGGGAGATCAAGGACAAAAGAACATTTGTAATTACTGAGAAATCATATCAGAGCAGAGATAAGTCCTTACTGTTCTTGACCTTCCTTCAGAAACATGTCCTGGGCCAGCTAGGTGGTACAGTGAACAGAGAACCAGGAGGTTCAGGAGGACCTGAGTTCAAATCTAATCTCAGACACTTGACACTTACTAGCTGTGTGACCCTGGGCAAGTCACTTAACCCTGACTGCTTCACCAAAAAGCAAAACAAAAAACAACAACAAAACACCATGTGCTATT